ATGCACTTGATCTGGTTTGCGTTACAATAACAATATAGTTTTATTCTCCATGACTGGAGACGACTAGCTACTCAGGCTAGGAGAGATCCCATCTAGAGCGATCAGTAGGAAGTGCCCGGGCAGGGGATTGGGCTGGGAGGTGTTAAAGAACGATAGAGATGATTATAATAAATGATAGCATTTGTATAGCGCAAATTCCCGCTCAACAACAAACTCTATGCGCTTTATAATCTATATTATTACCCCAGCAGCAGGCCTGATAGCATTCTTAAGCAGCTTCAACTTCCTGAGAAACATACAAGTTTCAGCTTTAGTAATTGAGTTTTATGGCACTAGAAACACAAACAGGTCATACAAGCGCTGTAGATTAGGGATGTTACAAGAGAGTAACATGCAAAGAAAAGAAGGAGAGATAAGCACAATAGATGTCTGAGAGGGAAGAAGGAGCAAACCACACCCCAGCGCTCGTCAATCGTCTTCGAAGTGATACTAAAAAAATTATTGATTGTGACACATAGAATTAAAGATTTGATAGATAGAAATAGTATTTTTAAATTCTGATACAAACGCTTGAATACAAAACTTGCGTGTGAAACGCAGCAGCTCTTTGTCGCTCTTGAAAACTTGTTTTTTTGGGGGACTGAATCACGCGTTTAGGGAATTACAATGGGCAAGAAGCAAAACAAATATCTGCCAGTAAGTACGGAAACTGCTAGAGATCTGAATATCTGGTGTTGTGTTCAAACTTCGTTCTTGGATGCGGCACTTACGCCATTTTAGAAACCAACATTTAAAAAAGAAATCTGATCGGCAAGGACAACACTAACAAGAAAACAAGATCAACATTAAAAATAAGAGGGGTGAAAGTTTTCAAATACTCTTCTGGTTATCTATGCAAAATATAATCGCGTCGCTAGGAAAAAGAGTTCGTGCAAAAAGGTTTTTGGAGATGAAACCGGTCAATGTAGACATTCACCTTCTGAAGTAGTAGATCTAACACACTTTCATTAATTTATTATTTTTGATTTTGATTTATCATCACACCGGTGTCTGTGGTGTAGGGGGTTATTAGACTCTTCGCCGTCGCACGCAGAAGACGTGAGTTCGATTCCCGTGTGGGAAGAATTCTTATCGAGTATCTCGGTCTTTCAGCTGGGACGTTATAGCTCTCTCGGTCCAATTTCATCTTATCTTAGCAGACAGGATCGAAGCACCCTACCTCCTAAATGATCTAAATTGTGTGAATGGGAGCTTTATAATTCCTCTATTACATTTTCACACTTTCGTTACAAACATGACGCGCTCTTGCTTGCAGAGACTATAAAAAAAAAGGAGAACCCCCCTCCCGCAATAATC